CATCAAACAATATGGAATATGTCCACAATAGGACTATGGCTAAATTAGGGGTGAATCCTCGAGGTCCACTGCCTAACCACGTATGGAAAATGGATGTTACTCATTGCAGAGTTTGGCAAGTTACAAATACATACACATGGCGAATGACATGTATTCAGATTTCTTGATGTTATAAGTCACTGTTTTAAGATGTTTTTGCTTACATGGGAGTCCCAGAAATCATAAAGACAGACTTAGAGATGGATATTATGATAAGGCATTTCAGTTATTTTGTACTCATTGGGAAAATGATCAAAAGACAGATAGACATTCCTTGTGATCCTCCAGAACAAGGAATTTTAGAACATGCTCATAGCTCCTTAGAAACACAGCTTCTAAGATAAAAAGGACAGACCTGTGCCCCCAGCCTCCACATGATGCGTTAAACCACCCAAGGTTCTCTTAAACTCTTTAACTGTGGATGCCAATGAGCAATCTGCTGTAGACAGATTCTGGCATGACAGAACTCAAGCAAATTTCACTCAGGTCAAATGGAGAGATGAATAGAGGGGACCAGACCCCATAATTATTTGGGGCCGAGGGCACATCTGTGTTTTCTGAAAGGTGGAGAATGAGGCATGCTGGCTGCATGAGTGGTTGCTAAGATGCATGGAGGAGAGAGGAATTGGACCTGAGGCCTTGGGGTACCGTCAAACCAGCTGGAGTGAAACACTGAACCTTGAGGACATCCAACCTACCGCCAGAGGAAGAACAGAGACACATCCAGTTCCAGTTTCATCATGCTTTCCAGGCTCCCAGCTCCCTACAGATGGACTACATCCATGTCTCTGAATTGGTGAGTGCTCATCCAGGTACAGACTAAGAACTGGACAACAAACAGCTTGTCTTCTTGCCACATCTGGCAAGAAAACTGCCACAAAACTGCTTTGCCAGTTTTCCATGGGAAAAAGGACCCATTTAGGATAGTTGGAAACTGGCATAAACCAGAGTGAGTGGCAGAAGGGCCTACACAATGCATAAACAAGTTATAGACAAAAGACTTTTCAGTTAATATTCTAAGACTATGTATGATATTAGAAACCTGATTTCAGAACTTTATATATTTCAGAACTTTGGACTTTAAGCAAGAAATTGAAAGATTCAAAGGGCATTGAGCCACAGGCAGGAAATAAAGGAAAAGAGTTTAGAATTGTAAAATTGTTCATACCCCACAGATCATGAGAATATCTTATTGTCTTTTGATTGTATTGTAACTCACTGTAATGTATGTTCACGATGAAATTGTTATTGTCTGGGGGGAGTAACCTTGCTATATAAATTGTTATTGTCAGTAACCTTACTATATTTGTTATGCAAATGTTATTAGACACTAGAAGTCAGTTCATTCTAACAGGAATATAACGTGTAATTTGCAAGACTTAGGATAGAAATATGTTTCAGAGAGCAAACTTAAGTTGTATGGGTACCAGCTGCACAAGAGGCATTCCCACACAGAGTTTTAAAAGGCTATTTGAACCTTTATATGTCTCCATCCTGCAGGAGAACATTTGCAGCCGTGAGAGCTCAGGTGCTACCTCCCAGAGGATTTGTTCTGTTTCAGGAATATTTGGAGCTGGACCATGGTCCATCCCCCATTAACCTTATTTGTTTTACAGAGACTGGTTCCAGCCAGAGACAGATACGGTTTTCCTTAACTTTAGGGAATCCTAAGACAGAACACACATGACAGAATGAGTGATTCCATGACAGGTACCCCTGGTAGGTTGAAGGGATCCTCCTAAAACAGGCACAGTCATCTATCCTGATGCAGAAGCACAGGTTTCTGATTATTAATTTAAGAGAGGGGAATTCTCAGGAGCGAGGAAAATTCCATTATGAAATTTCGTGGGGTTCCTGTACCGGGAGATCCGGTCTGCATTGAATAGACAGTCTGCTATTGTACAGCATGGCCTCTGTGGGGAATGTCTCCTAGTTTGCATCACTACAGAACTAAGCATTTGAATAGGCCTGCACCTAGCACCTGGGCAGTGGTGCTAGGTGTGGGAGTTACAAGTGAGGACTGAGGGTTAGGAGCTATCTATTAGAGAGGAGTCAAAAGAAGGACAGAAATGCCTCCTGGTGGCCATGGAAGCATGGTTAAGAAACAGCCAAGAAGATGCTAAATAAACAAGAGACTCCAGTTTTGCAGCATGGAACTGAGAGCTCTCTAAAGATGACAAAATGCCTGTGTTTGGTCTTTGTCTCTGTTGGGTTGCTAGAAATTTCCAAATCCACACTTCCCCTCAGGCTGAACTTCATGGCTGCGGTGGCTTGGTGCTAAGATGGGCCAGGCCACAACACTTTCCATCCAAAGAATATCCTTCTGGAATTCTGATGCAGAAGGAAGACACTAAATTGGAGTAGATATTTCTGCCACATTAACAGAATAAAAAGTTAAAGACATATATTGAAAAGATTTCTGATTTGATTTTAAAGGGCAAATTAAGACTTTGTCAACTGCCTGGAAAAGATCCAGCGGAAATTATAGTACCTTTAACTAATGAAGAAATTTCCTTCTTATGGAGGGATAATGAATATTAGCAAATGCCTCTTATTGACTTTTTTGTAATGATTAGCAACAACTATCCCAAAACTGACAGAAAAAATTCATAAAAAAGACAGTCTGGATTCTTCCACATACTGTAAGACAAACTCCCATTGGGCGGTAGGGAGTGAAGACACATGTAGATCCTGGTGTCTGTACTTTGGGGCTCGTCAGGGGTGCTAGCTACTTCCATTTCATCCTTGTCTTTGCTATGTTTGCTGCAGTGGACTCAAGTCAGCCTTCCTTTTCAGATACTAGAGAAGTCCCGAGGCTGGTTTTGACCTGCAGCAAGAGGTCACTGCCTGTCACTGAAGATAGTATAAGGCTTTGAATTTCTCTGCAGCACCAGTGGAGTGGCCAGAACAGAGTGGCTTTTTCCAAAGCTCAGTGACTGCAATAAATTGTTTCCTTATTTTTAATGTTCATTGGTGTTTTGCCTCCATGTGTATCTATGTGGGTGTTAGGCGGTCTGGAACTGAATTTACAAGTGGTTGTGAGCTGCTTTGTGGATGATAGGAATTAAGTCCATGTCCTCCACAAAGGACAAGTTCTGTTCACAGCTGAGCCATCTCTCCAGTTCCAAAAGGTGTTGTTTGCCATTTCAGTCAGTACTGTTGGTGGGAGGGGAAGAGAAGTCACCCTTTCAGAGCTGATCTTGCACTAACCATTCATGCCACGGATATTTATAAAGCAAGGATTCTGTCTGGCTTAGTATTCAGGCTGAGATGAGGTGCTATTCTACAGATAAGTCTGCAGAGACGACTGTATGCTAAATCTCAGTGCATCTCCTGGTGCACTGGGCTGGATGGGGTTCAGCTATGGTTCCCATCCATTGCCCTATGGAAGCTTGTTCTGAAAGACATGAGCACCCACACTGAACACCACCCATTACCTAAGCAATGAAAAAGGATCTGCTGCGCTGACCTACATCGTATCTGTCTTTTACTGTCAGGAGGAAAGGGTCATTCAGAGCATCTTTGGTTTGGATATCTGTGAACACAGGAGAAACTTTTGAAGCTCTTGTATCAGCCTCTGGGACTCATGATGGACTCTGGGTTTAGATTGGGTGAGAAGCATCCACCTACCGTGTGGCTAGCTAGGGCTGAATGAACAGTTTGCCAATGAGTGAGAAGTCTTTGCTTAAGGAGATTTAGCAGCTCAAACTCATGAATGAATGATGTAAGATAAGAGGTGAA